TGTGTGGTGTTGCCTCCAAGGCCTCTGTTCTGTTCCATTGGTCTATGTCTCTGTTTTGGTACCAGCACCATGCTGTTTTGATTACTGTAGCCTTGTAGTACAGCTTGAAGTCTGGCAGTGTGATGCCTCCAGCTTTGTTCTTTTTGCTTAGGATTGTCTTGGCTATGCAGGCTCTCTTGTGATTCCATATGAAGTTTAAAGTGGTTTTTTCCAGTTCTGTGAAGAAGGTCATTGGTAGCCTGATGGGAATAGCGTTGAATCTATAGATTACTTTGGGCAGTATGGCCATTTTCACTCTATTAATTCTTCCTAACCATGAGCATGGAATGTTTTTCCATCTGTTTGTGTCCTTTCTTATTGCATTGACCAGTGGTTTGTAGTTCTCCTTGATGAGGTCCTTTACATCCTTTGTTAGTTGTATTCTTAGGTATTTTATTCTCTTTGTAGCAATTGTGAATGGGAGTTTGCTTTTGATTTGACTCTCTGTTTGTCTGTTATTGGTATATAGGAATGCTTGTGATTTCTGCACACTGATTTTGTATCCTGAGACTTTGCTGAAGTTGCTTATCAGTTTGAGAAGATTTTGGGCTGAGACGACGGGGTCTTCTAGATATACAATCATGTTATCTGCAAATAGAGGTGACTAAGTCACTACTAATTCAAACAAGGGTTAAACAATTTTCTGTTTTTTTAAAAAACTTTTTATTATGGAAACTTTCAAACATTCACCAAAGTAGGGGTAATAGTTTTCAAAACTCTATGTGTAGATCACTCAGCTTCAAGTTTCTTTCTTTTTTTTTTTTTTCTACTTTCCATGGTAGTGAATAAAGCTTCAGCAATTTTCAACAATTTGCCAGCCTTGTTTCACTTGCCCACTTGCGCTCCCGACTCGTGCATTTTAAAGCAAATCTCAGGCCAGGCACAGTGGCTCATGCCTGCAATCCCAGCACTTTGGGAGACTGAGGTAGGTGTATCACCTGAAGTCAAGAGTTTAAGGCCAGCCTGGCCAACATGGTGAAATTTTGTCTCTACTAAAAACACAAATATTAGCCAGGCGTGGTGGTGCGTGTCTGTAATCCCAGCTACTCAGGAGGCTGAGGCAGCAGAATTGTTTGAACCTGGGAGGCAGAAGCTGCAGTGAGCCAAAATCATGCTGCTGCACTTGAGCCTGGGTGATGGAGTGAGACTCTGTCTCAAAAATAAATAAATAAAATAAAGCAAACCTTATATATTGGATCAGTTTATCTATAAATACTGATGTTTGTATATCTAACATCCAAAGAATTTTAACTGGCTAGGCGTGGTGGCTCATGCCTGTAATCCCAGCACTTTGGAAGGCCGAGGCAGTTGGATCATCTGAGGTCAGGAGTTTGAGACCAGACTGATCAAGATGGTAAAACCTCATCTCTACTAAAAATAAAAAATTAGCTGGGCTTGGTAGTGGTGGGTGCCTGTAATCCCAGCTACTTGGGAGGCCGAGGCAGGAGAATTGCTTGAACCCAGGAGGCAGAGGTTGCAATGAGCTGAGACCATGCCATTGCACTCCAGCCTGGAAGGAAAAAAAAAAAAGAATTTTAATGTATGACCAAACCCTGTGAATAAAAAAATTTTACTTTTATTTTATTATTATTATTATTATTTTTTTAGATAGAGTCTTGCTGTGTTGCCCAGGCTGGAGTGCAGTGGTGCGATCTTGGCTCACTGCAACCTCCGTCTCTTGGGTTCAAGAGATTCTCATGCCTCAGGCTCCTGAGTAGCTGAGATTACAGGCACCTGCCACCACACCCAGCTAATTTTTGTATTTTTAGTAGAGACTGGGTATCACCATGTTGGCCGGGCTGGTCTCAAACTTTTGACCTCAGGTGATCCACCCGCCTTGGCAAAGGGCTATGATTACAGGCCACTTTGCCCAGCCAAAAAAGAATTTTAAAACAATATCACCATAATACCATGATCACATCTAACAAAATTAACCACATTCCATGACATCTGCAATGCTTTTTATGTTCACATTTCCCTGATTATCTCAGAGATACCTTTTTTGTTTGTTAGACTCAGGTAAGCAAGGGTCACACATTGCATTTGGTCAACATGTCTCCAAAGTTCAATCCATTACAACTCCTCTTCCATTTATACATGACAATTATTTGTGGTGGAAGTCAGATCTTTTGTTATGCCACATACTTTAAAAATGGAAACAGGCTGGGTGCAGTGGCTTGCACTGTAATACTAGCACTTTGGGAGGCCAAGGCGGGCAGATCACTTGAGGTCAGGAGTTCGAGACCACCCTGACCAACATGGTGAAACCCTGTCTCTACTAAAAATACAAAAATTAGCTGGGCATGATGGTGGGCACCTGTAATCTCCCCTGCTTGGGAGGCTGAGGCACAAGAATTGCTTGAACCCAGGAGGTAGAGGTTGCAGTGAGCTGAGATTGCACCATTGCACTCCAGCCTGGGTGACGGAGCAGGACTCCATCTCAAGTCCAAGCACTTTGGAAGGCTGAGGCGGGTGGAACACCTGAGGTCAGAAGTTCGAGATCAGCCCAGCCAACATGGTGAAACCTCGTCTCTATTAAAAATACAAAAATTAGCTGGGTGTGGTGGCAGGCACCTGAATCCCAGCTACTTGGGAGGCTGAGGCAGGAGAATTGCTTGAACCCAGGAGGTGGAGGTTGTGGTGAGCTGGGATTGCACCATTGCACTCCAGCCTGGCGACAGAGACTCCATTAAAAAAAAAAATCTGGTACAGAGAACAATGAGATGTTTTAGAAATTTAGTTCAAAAGAAGCATTTATTTTGGTAAAAGCCAAGAAGTGAAAGAAATATTTTTGCATTTTAAATTTTAAAAAAGAATTAAATCATGTCCTTTGCTACAACATGGATGGAGCTGGAGAACATAATCCTGAATTAATTAATATGATTTAATTCTTTTTTAAAATTAAAAATTTTTGCATTTTTAATTTTAAAAAAGAATTAAATCATGTCCTTTGCTGTAACATTGATGGAGCTGGAGAACGTAATCCTAAATTAATTGACATAGAAAACCAAATACCTAATGTTCTTACTTACAAGTGGGAGCCAATTTTTTTTTTTTTTTTCAGACTGAGTCTTGCTGTGTCACCCAGGCTGGAGTGCAGTGGCGCAATCTTGGCTCGCTGAAACCTCTGCCTCCCGTTTTCAAGGGATTCTCTGCCTCAGCCTTCTGAGTAGCTGGGATTACAGGTGCCTGCCGCCATGCTGGGCTAATTTTTGTATTTTTGGTAGAGACGGGGTTTCACTATGTTGGTCAGGCATGTCTCAAACTCCTGACCTCATGATCCACCCCCCTTGGCTTCCTAAGTGCTGGGATTACAGATGTGAGCCACCGCGCCCAGCCGTGGGAGCTAAATATTGAGCACACGTGGACATAAATATAGGAACAATAGACACTGAAGACTACTAGAAGGGGGAGAGAAGGTGGAAGTCTGGGTTAAAAAGTTACCTACTGGGTTCTGTGCTCACTACGTGGGTGCAATATACCCATGTAACAAATCTGCACCTGTACTCCCTGTATCTAAAATAAAAGTTGAAATTTGAAAAAAAGAAAAAAGGGCCAGGTGCAGTGACTCATGCCTGTAATCCCAGCACATTGGGAGGCTGAGGTAGGCGGATCACCTGAGGCCAGGAGTTTGAGATCAACTTGGCCAACATGGTGAAATCCCATCTTAACTAAAAATACAAAAATTAGCTGGGCATGATGACAGGCATCTGTAATCCCAGCTACTTGGGAGGCTGAGACAGGAGAATTGCTTGAGGCGGAGGCTGCAGTGAGCTGAGATCATGCCATTGCACTCCAGCCTGGGTGATGGAGAGACTCCATCTAAAAAAAAAATTAAAGAAAATGTGTTCTTATGCAAGTGAGAAGTGTTCTGAAAAAAGAAAAAAAGAGAAATATTTTAAATGAAAAGTTTGAGCTTTTCCATAAAAACTTTTTAATGAATTCCCAGGTATAGTGGTTCACTGGAATTCATGCATATAATTCCAGCACTTTAGGAGGCTTAGGCAGGAGGATTGCTTGAGGCTAGGATTTCAAGACCAACCTGGACAACATAGCAAGACTTCATCTCTAATTAAACTAAACAATTTTTAAAAATGTAGCCAGGCATGATGGTACATGCCTGTAATCTCAGCTACTTGGGAGGCTGAGGTGGGAGGATTGTGAAAAGCCCAGGAGTTTGAGGCTGCAGTTAGCTATGAGCAGGTCACTGCACTCCATCCTGGGCAACAGAGCAAGACCCCATCTCAAAAAAAAAAAAGTTCTGGAGGCCAGGCACAGTGGCTCACACTTGTAATCCTAACACTTTGGGAGACTGAGGCAGGAGAATCACTTGAAGCTAGGAGTTTGAGGCCAGCCTGGGCAACATAGTGAGACTTTGTCTTTATATAAATAAATAAATGAATAAATTAGCTGGGCATGGTGGTACATGCTGGTTGTGCCGGCTTCTTGGAAGGCTGAGGTGGGAGGATCATGTGAACCGGGAGTTCGTGGTTACAGTGAGCTGTGATTGCACCACTACAATCCAGCATGGGTGACAGAATGAGACCCTGCCTTTAACTTGGAAAAAAAAAAAATTCTGGAAGGAGTGGGTGGTCGGTGGTATATAGGCCCATCTATGAACTGAAGCCAGATGATAGATACGTACATGAAAGTTCATTTTACTATTCTTTCTACTTTACCTATGTTTGAAATTTTGCAAAATAAAACTTAATCTGCAGAGAGACTGTATCAAGGTCTCTTGTTAATAGTCCAGTAGGGTGTTTCTTTCTCTCTTTTTTTTTTTTTTTTTTTTTGAGACGAAGTCTCATGCCCAGGCTGCAGTGCAGTGGCGCAATCTCAGCTCACCTTGACCTCCGCCTCCCGGGTCCGAGCGATTCTTCTACCTCAGCCTTCCAAGTAGCTGGGACCACAGGCATGTGCCTCCACGCCCGGCTAACTTTTCGTATTTTTTTTTTTTTTCAAAACGATTGCATTTATTATAAACACAGGTGCAGATCCTAGACTCTCAGAAACACAACAGATACAAAGCTAAGACAGCTCTGGTGAAACTAATAGACGACGAGGAACACCGAGGTATTCATGTCTGGGCCAGAGCTGCCATCCAGCGCCCCACAACCCACCTTTGGTCCAGATGGCTGGTTGGCCAGGTGTCCCTGCTGCCAGAACACACTGGACTGGGGTACAGGAGTTGCATCTTCCATGAGCTGGTGTCAGGGGAAGCAGGGACTCTCACAGTTGCCAGGTTGTCCTTCTCCTCCGAGCCAATTTCCCTCCACAACCCAGGGGTTTCAGCCTCACATCACTATCATGTTCAAAACAGAAAACAGGCAAAATGTTTGGCTAAAATGAAATGAAAACTGCAGGGAAGAGACCTGAGTGTGCTGGTGGACAGGCTGCCCTGCTCACCTGTGGGAAGGGCAGGGCCAGCGAGGGCAGGAGAGCTCCCTGTGGGCAGCTAGGCTGTGTGTGCATGTGGCCCTCAGGTGGTCCCAGGGAGGATACAGGGTGTCAGGTAGGAGGGCTCTGCCTGAGGTGTTCTGGCATCAGGAGGCTGCCTGACCCCTAATGGGCATGACACAGGCCCCAGGGAGCAATGGACAGCTGCTGAGAGGATCAAAGCCCAAGTTGGTCAGATCCCAAGCTTCACCTGCATCAGGCCCCTGACTCTGCAAAGGGTACCTCCAACTCTGGGGACAAGCCATGGCCTCGAGCAGCAGCTGGCTATGCTGCTGAAACCAGGACACATCTGCACCACACAGCTGCGCCATCCCGGTGTGACAGGCCATACTTGGTCACCCTAGGGTAAGCCGGAAAAGAACTCCCGATGTGCCCTGGAGAGCCCCCCACCTCTCAGGGGCCACCTCACAGGGTACCCCCACCACCCCATTCTTTGAGTTTGGCTTGAGATTTTTAAGAAGCATAATTTCAGGTGAGGAAGAGAACAAAGTCTGGTCCCAGGGCACTCTGGCAAGGATTGTTCTTCCCCTCGTCAGCATGAGAGGAAGCCACATATACAAGCAGGACACACACAGCACACGTGGGGCGTAGGGAACCGTGCCTGCACACCACTCACATACACACAACATAACCAAGTAGCAGCCGGAGAGGCCAGGGCATGCTCAGAGGGCCGCCTTCGGGGCATCCGCGTAGGCCGGGTTGTAAGGAGGCTGGCTGGCGGAGTAGGGTGCCGCTGCTCCTCCAGCCAGGGTCTCGTGGTAGGCCGGCGCCCATTGGCTGGGCTGGGTAAGGCAGTGGGTACTGCATTGGTTAGGGCACTGCTGGCATCCCTGGCTGAGGGGGCATGGCGTGGTAGCCCCGGTAGCTCGGTCCAGGGTAGCTGGGCGGCACACTTGGAGGCTGAGGGTAAGGGGCGTGCACCACAGTGGTGGACGTGGTGGTGGTGACAACTGGACGCGGCCGGCGGCACGTCTTGTACAGGCAGCAGCAGGAGCAGGTGAAGCAGATGATGATAGTGACAGCAGGCAGCACAAAGATGGTCAGGCCAACGGCCAAAGTCGCTCCGAACCCCATGTTAGCCTCTGCCTTCAGCCAGAGGCCTCCTGTTCCCCTGGACTTCCCCTCTTTCCATCATGGGCCACTCAGTTTCAATTTCCTCCCCTTTTGGAGAAAAGGAAAGCAAATCTCCTCCAGATGACGTCAGCCACAGGAAGCAACTTTCTGTATTTTTAGTAGAGGTGGGGTTTCATGGTGTTAGCCAGGATGGTCTCCATCTCCTGACCTCATGATCTGCCAGCCTCAGCCTCCCAAAGTGCTGGGGTTACAGGTGTGAGTTACCTTGCCTGGCTCCTCTTTTTTTATTATGATCATATTACATTTGGAGACAGAGTTTCACTCTTGTTGCCCAGGCTGGAGTGCAGTAGCACGATCTCAGCTCACCGCAACCTCTGTCTCCCAGGTTCAAGTGATACACCTGCCTCAGCCTCCCGAGTAGCTGGGATTTCAGGTTTGCGCTACCACGCCCAGCTAATTTTGTATTTTTAGTAGAGATGGGATTTCTCCATGTTGGTCAGGCTGCTCTTGAACTCTCGACCTCAGGTGATCCACTCACCTCGGCCTCCCAAAGTTCTGGGATTACAGGTGTGAGCCACCATGCCTGGCCTTTTTATTTATTTTTGGAAGCGGAGTTTTGCTCTTGTTGCCCAGGTTGGAGTGCAATGGCACCATCTCCATCTAGGCTCACTGCAACCTCCGTCTCCCAGTTCAAGCAATTCTCCTGCCTTAGCCTCCTACTTACATCTCCTGTAACTGAGATTACAGGCACCTGCCAACAGGCATGGCTGCTTTTTGTATTTTTAGTAGAGATGGGGTTTCACCATGCTAGTCAGTCTGGTCTTGAATTCTTGGCCTCAGATGATCTGCTTGTCTTGGCCTCCCAAAGTGCTGGGATTACAGGCATGAGCCACTGCGCCTGGCCTAGAATAGGTATCATATGTTCCCAGTAAAAAGTACAAGCAATAATAAAGGGGATTTGGTGAAAATTAAGTTGCCTTCTTTACCTCCCACCCCATTTTCCAGCTCCCAGTTCTCCCTAGAGGCAACTCTCCTATCCAGTTTTTTGTACTTTTTCGAGAATTTATATACACATAGAGAGCCTATGTGGCTACTATCCTCTTTTCCCCCCTTTTTTGCATAAATGGTGGCATCCCATAATACAGTTCTGAATGTCTCTCTGGTTTAAAAGTATATATTATAAGGCATATATATCTGGAGACGTTCAGCTCTGTGCACACAGATAAACCTTAAACTTGAAGAGACTGTGTAGTATTCGGTTGCCCCCTAGCACAATGTGCTGCGTCTGTCCCCTATTAATGGACATGGGTTGTTTCCAAACATTTGCACTTGGTAACAGTGAATGCTAAAGCAAATATCCTGGTACTTCAGGCTTTCACGCCTGTAGGGTAGGAGATCTCCTTTCCATGCTCCTAATTGTCGGAGGTAAACTTAAGGGGAGTGTATTTTGCTGTTGGTTCTGTGGATGACAGGTGACAAAACAGGGTAAGGCTATGAAATAGCTAATGAATTTGCCAAGCCAAACCTGAGGTTCCAGGCTGTCTTAAGTCAAAGGCTGAATTCCTCATAACACACCGGGGCTGGGGCCAGAGGCGGGCGGTAGGAGCTCTTCTTGGGCATAACCTTTCATCTGTGTTGGGCAAGAAAGCAAGGCATGAATGTGTCCTTCTACCTGGCAAGTTCCCTCTTTACCCCTTGGCAGCACGGGGGGAGTGAGGGCAGGAGGCTTCTCCCACATGAGCCCTGGAGCTGTGCTTTTGGCAAAAGAGGACTGGTACCCAGGACTGGGAAGGGGATGAACATCTCCCCACTCCCCAGGATACAGGAAAACATTAAAGAGGAATTTTCTATGACAGGTCATGGCTGGGCATAGCTGTTCATGCCCGTAATCCCAGCACTTTGGGAGGCTGAAGTGGGTGGATCACCTGAGGTCAGGAGTTTGAGAACAGCCTGACCAACATGGTGAAACCACAACTCTACTAAAAATACCAAAATTAGCTGGGCGTGGTGGCACACACATATAGTCCCAGCTACTTGGGAGGCTGAGGCAGGAGAATTGCTTGAACCCAGGAGGCGGAGGTTGCAGTGAGCTGAGTTCGCGCCACTGTACTCCAGCCTGGCAACAGAGTAAGACTCTGCCTGAAAATAAATAAATAAATAAATATATATATATATAAATAAAGGGCAGAGGAGGCTAGTGAAGTCCCCGCCTTCCACCAGCGCTAAGCCCAGAGCTGGGGTTGGGGTGGTAAGGACAGGAGCCAGCGTAGTTCAGCCATACACCCCCCCTCCCCCTGCCTCATCCCCAGCTGATCCCTGAGCACCCGAGTTGTGTTTACCACCCTCTCACCTGGATTACACAGGGCAGCCTCCCTGATGGGTAGCAAGAAGTGGGTGATAACATGCACCATGCCCCTCCACCACCCAAGGGCAGTGAAGACCTCAGAGGGATGAGGTAGCAGCTGTGGTGTGGGCAACAGACACCCTGGTATGTATACCCCAGGCCTGTGAGTCTTTAGAGGTTGAATTTTTGTCTGAAAGCGATATGGCGCCTATAGGAGGTCAGGGACAGGCCTTCTGTTTCTTGGGAGGCCCTACCCCACCCCTTAGTTCCTCGTTCCATTCTCAGGAATTGTTTGTGCAATGGATGGACAAGGATAGGAGGTTCAGATCTAACACAGTGTCTGGGCCTGCAGGGTGGCCTCTGAGGCCCAGGGCCCTGGAGGAGCCTGGGCATGGGGAGGAGCCCCCTGGGGCAGGGCATAACCCTTTCTGAGGCTCTAAGGGTGATGTATGTGGTGGAGGTTCCTCAAGATCACAGTTGGGCAATCACTTCATCCTAGGCCATGCCTGCTAGGATGGGGGATGGTGTGTGTGCCCAGGAACCTAGCAGAGGTCTTTGTGTGGAAGTGGGTGGGTCTGACCCAATGTAAATATTTTTATTAAAAAAGAAATGGATGAGAAACCAAAGCCAATTCTGTTGCTGACCTGAAAGATGCTATTTACTTGGGGTAGAAATAGGACAGGGGAAGGCACTGGCTTTGACCTTACTTGTATAATTCATTGTTTCAACAAAAATTCCTGGATCTTTCCTCTGGGGAGCTTGGGATAAGCGCACAAGTAATTAGAAGGTGGGAAGTGGCATGGACATGTCTTGTGAGAGTCTGGAAGATGAGGGATTTGAGAAGGATGGAGAAGAAGGTGTTATAGGAGAGGGGGTGCCAAGAGGAAAGCGCCTAGGGGAAAGAGGGCTTGGAGATGCAAGGGGTTGGGGTAGACTTCAGGGATGCGCAAGGAGCTCCCAGCAGTCACTGAAGAGAAGGTGTGAGGAACAGCCACTACCACTTGGTGGCTACCAGTGTGGACCCGGGAGCCATGCTGCCTGGGTTTGAATCCCGGCTCTGCTGCTTAGTACCTGTATGAACCTGGGGCAGCTCGCTTAACCTTTCTGAGCCTCAGTTCCCTCGTCTGTAAAGTGGGAGTAACAACAGAACTGTGTCATAAGCTTGTTGTGAGGATTAAGTGAGCACCTACATTTAAGACTTAAAAATAGTGTCTGGCACTCTGTCCTGCTAATATGAAGTCTTTTTCCCCCCAAAGCAGACCGGGAGACAAGGATTCCAGTGCAGACAGTGTATTCTGGAGGTGATCGCAGGAAACACGGGTAGTGGAGTGTGATAGAGAAGGAAGGCAGTCAAGGAAGGGTGTGTTATCGGGCAAATTTACCACTGTGGGTGAGTGGAGGTCAATCCCACTCAGGAAACCTGGAGTGGTGCAGAGTTATCCCGTGGTCCGGGGCGAGGGAGCCCGGTATTTATACCAATCAGTCATTGGTTGAGGGACCTTAATTCTCTGGCATTTCCAGCTTTCTGTGCACAGATAGTGCAGGACACCAAAAACAATCCTTGGGTAGAGACAGAGACACTGCAGTTGGAAGTCAGTGGAGCACCCCAGTGGTAAGGCCCAAGGGATATGGTGGGGCGAGGACCGATCCACTACAAGCACCAAGAGGCTTGCAGAGCCATACTGAGTCCCAGCTACAGTCACACATTAAGGCTGTGAACCAGGCTGGGTCAGCCTAGTTTTCCAGTTTGGGGGTTGACCTGCAGTTGCCACAGAAGGTTGAGGGGTGGCAGAACTTAGGATGCCAGCGAAGTCCATGTGCAAGTGGCCAGACTGGTTAAGGAGTAGACTGGCCACCGCAGCGGGATCGGCCCATGCTATCTGCCACTTTTCCTCAGACATTTCCAGCTGTGAGAATAAGACATCCTGAGAGGACATCACAGCATCACTTCTGACTTTGTTTATCTTTTTGGAATGGAGTCTTACTCTGTCGCCCGGGCTTGAGTACAGTGCCGTAATCTCGGTTCACTGCAACCTCCACCTCCTGGATTCAAGTGATTCTCCTGCCTCAGCCTCCTGAGTAGCTGAGATTTCAGGCATGCACCACCACACTTGGCTAATTTTTATTATTATTTTTTTTTTAGTAGAGATGAGGTTTATTTATTTATTTTTTTGAGACGGAGTTTTGCTCATGTTGCCTAGGCTGGAGTGCAATGGCACGATCTTGGGTCACTGCAACCTCCACCTCCTGGGTTCAAGTGATTCTCCTGCCTCAGCCTCCTGAGTAGCTGGGATTAACAGGAATGTGCCATCACACCTAGCTAATTTTGTATATTTAGTAGAGGCAGGGTTTTTCCATGTTGGCCAAGCTGCATTTCTGTTTTTAGCTGTGACTATGGGAATGGGTGCGGTGGTTCATGCCTGTAATCCCAGCACTTTGGGAGGCTGAGGCAGGTGGATTACCTGAGGTCGGGAGTTGGAGACCAGCCTGACCAACATGGTGAAACCCCATCTCTACTAAAAATACAAAAATTAGCCGGGCATGGTAGCATGTGCCTATAATCCCAGGTACTTGGGAGTCTGAGGCAGGAGAATCCTTTGAACCCAAGAGGTGGATGTTGCAGTGAGCTGAGATCGCACTGCATCACTCCAGCCTCGGTGACAAAGCAAGACTCTGTCTCAAAAAACCAAACCAAAACAAAAAACCACGCACACATAAACACAAAAACAAACAACAACAACAACAACAAAAACAAAACCAATTCTGACTAGGGGATGAAGTACAGAATTGGG